AGGAGCTCATGGGCACTAACCCCCCCAGATTCCTGCACAGCAGCTTCCCCTGACACAAACCCCACACTGCTGCCCAAGTGCAGACACTCCTCTGTGCTGTTCACTGGGGAAAGCAAACACCGACCACAGCAGCATCACATGTGAGCAGAGCCCACCTCAGCCCCATACCACACCCCCTCTGCTCTCCCACGCCAGAGGCCAAAGTAGTGCCAAGGACAAGGAAAAAGGAACTTACTGGCAAAGATGGGAACCTGCAAGAGCCCTGCGTGGAAGACCACAGCTCGTGGGTCCTGCATGCTGCACCTTGGGAAGCACAGGAAAGTCTCCAGGACCTCTGATACTTATACTTGCCATCCCTGGCAGATGAGAAGGTGAACAGCTCTGAGCCAGATGGGTTCACATATCCCAGCAAATGTCCCCTGACTGTGATCTGAACAAACACGTCGGCAACCTGGGAAATGAGCATCTCTCCATGATCAGGATTGTGCTCCCAGCCTGATCAGGCTTGGATCAGCCTCCCTGCAAACTTACAAGTGTTTTTTGAGAGCCACTGGATTTGCTGACAGCCTGGGGAAGCTCCCCTGGGGGTCTTTGTTCTTAACACCACTTCCAAACTAATTTAAGTCTGTGATGACTGGGAGCCACTCTCAAATACCCTCATTCGAAAGAAGATGCATCCTCAACCCTCCTTCATCCCATTCAATGGTTTTGTCTGGGGACAACCCTGTCCTTTTCTTCCTCACACCAAATGGAGTCAGAGCTGGCACTTGGACAATGCTGGCAACACAGCAGGACATGTCACAGCAGTGATGGCAGCGTGTCCCTCACAACCACACAGTTGTGCCGTTAACTCCACATAGGAAAGCACTACTCAAAGAAGGAAAGCTCTGGTCACCAGAGTCCTGGAAGCAGCAGAGGCAGCGCTGGTGCGTGTGTGCTGTCAAGGGCTCTCAGACACGGCTGATGGCAGTGGTGTTCCTGAGCACAGGATCACCACAGAACTCGGGCTCTCCGCACCAACTCATCCAGGGAATGATCCAGCTCCCAGGGAAAACCTCTGTGCCAGATTCAGGAGTGACAGCACACAAGAGAGGACTGACGGCAGCATGGACACTCCTCTGGCATTCAAAATGAGGTTCAGGGGGTTGAGCTGTTTTTTTTTTCCCTACAATTACCTACAAGTGCAACAATCATAGACACTTGGAGAAGCTACACAGCCATCAGAACAAGCTGAGTTCCCTGGAGTTCATCCCCAGTTCTAGGTGGACAACTGGGTTTCTCTGGAATGGATACCTTGAGAAAACAATTAGCAAAACCAAAATGCTAGAGAAAGCATCCTATCAAAACCACACCATTTACCACCATGTTTGTACATGGTTCCTGTAGTCTGTACAGGAACCCCAGCTCAGAGCAGAAATCAGCACAGCTGCTTAACAACAACAAAAACAACGATAACAACGGCAACAATTTAATTGTGTTAAGAGACAAACATATCTAACAAAACTCACACTTGCATAAAAAAATTCCTTGTGCCTGGGCACCTGAGTCAAGCCACTCTCTGTTCACAGCTCTGCGGTGCTGCAGAGTACCCAGAGAGGCTGGAACTGCTCCTGGGAGTAACTGCTGTGTAACCTGGCCAGAGCAGAGCTGCACTGCAGCCACATGGGAAGGGACATACAAAACAGTTATTAAAAAATATGCATTTTAAATAAAGAATTTACAACAACTTCAACTTTATACAAAATATCATGGTTGCCATGTCTTAATTTCAGTGTCTCAATTCTAGGAATTACTTTTGAACTCTCAGCATCCTGTTTTCCATTTCACACCACCTCTGCAGTGTCTTTCTCCAGAGAGTTCTGTCTCTGTCCAGCTCAGTCCAAAGTACCTGAAAAGGAAAAAACACATTCTCAGGAATCAGAAGCACAGTTCTGTAAACAAATAAATCTTGTTAACTAGCTGGCAAAAGAAAGTACAGTAACTTTATGCAAATCTCACACGAGTAAAACCAAATCTAACAAAAAAAAATACTGCACATGCCTCAGGGCCCAGCTGAGCCATTCCAGTGCTCAGAGGGGCATTGCAAGCCACGCTAGGAATTACTGAGGATGTGGAAGCAGAGAGCTTTGCAAATGATTCAGTTTTTTGTCTCCTAAGAAGGTGAGTACACAAAATACTGAAATCAAGTAGAAACTCACCTTCCAAAAAAGCAAATTCATCAATAGCTTCAATGGCATTATCTAAAAAGCAAATTGAGAACAATTAAAATAGATAAACCAACTCCCTATTTGCATCTGTTTCAAACTGCAGCATTTGAAATTACATCACAGCACAGTGACCAATTTCAAAGAGATTTACTTGTTTTGGACATGATGTGTGGAATTATTAGTGTAGTCTTTGGTAGAACTTTTTCTCTCCCATCTTTGGGAAAGAAAGAATAAATCCATAATTACTTCAGCACCTCCATACAGGTGGAAAAATCCCCCATTGCAGTAACCCTCTGCTAAGGCCAGCACAGAACATGCTCCCATACCCAGGTCTTTTCTTTGCAGGGTTTTCCTTTTTCCTTGCTGGGCATACACGTAAGCATCTTTGGCTATGGTTTCAACAAACAGCTCCTGCAAGGCCAAACAGGACAGGTTCACATAGGAGATGAGAGAATATCCTGAGGAAAAAGAAAGGTCCTACAAGGCTTTACGATTAAATCTTAATCTTCATCCTACCATTACCCCTTCCCAGTCAACAGGTTTGCAAATACCAAAGGAAATGGCTGGACAGTGATGTACAGGACATTAAATGAGGGAGAAAGCTGGGAATGTGGGTTCCTCAAAATTCACATTCTCTGAGAGACCCACTCCACACCACGGGCTCCCAGGGAACCTTCTGAAGGGGAAAAGGTGTCCTGTGCTCAGGAGATGAATCATGAAATCCTTCAGGTGGAGAAAACCTCTGAGATCATTGTGTCCAACCATCAACCCAGCACCACCTCCACGTTCACTCTCCATGAGGGAATTTCCCCAATATCCTAAACTTCCCCTGGCGCAGCCTGCGGCTGTTTCCTCTTGTACTGTGCCTTCTTGCTTGGGAAAAGCGACCGACGCCCCCCGGCTGTCCCCTCCTGTCAGGGAGTTGTGCAGAGCCACAAGGGCCCCCCTGAGCCTCCTTTTCTCCAGCCTGAGCCCCTTTCCAGCTCCCTCAGCCACTCCCGCTGCTCCAGACCCTTTCCCAGCTCTGCCCGGCCGCAGCCTCCCCGCGGCTCCCTGAGCTCTCGGGCAAGACCGAGTAGCATCCCCGCATCCCGCAGCGTTCCAGCCCCCAGGACCCCCTCACCGTGGCCCGCGCCAGGACGAACACGGCCTCCTGGCTGGCCAGGGTGACGTCCGGGTCCGCCTTCACCAGTGCCTTCACCCGCGCCAGCGGCAGCCGTGCCAGCCGGGCCGGCCCCGGGCCCTGCGGCCCCGCGCCCGCCGCCTCCTCCCCGGGCGCCGCCGCCTCCGCGGGCCCCGGTCCCGGCACGGCCGCCGCCGCCGCTGCCATCCCGCCCGAGCGCTGCGCCTGCGCGGGGCCGGGGCCGGGGCCGGGCCGAGCTCGGCGGGGCCTCGCTTCATCCCCGAGCGCGGCCCCTCCTCCGGCCCCTCCTCCGGCCCTTCCCGCCACCGACACAGAGCGCCTCACCTTCGCCTTCTTCCCGTCCCCAAACACCGTCCCTGATCCTCCCGTTCATCCTGTCCCCGGAGACACCCCGCACACCCCATCCTTATCGTCCCTAATGATGGCTCTCAGTGCCTCCCTGCCACCTCCGTGCCCCACCACGGCTCTCGGGCCTCCCTCTCCCCGCAGACAGGGACGTGCCCTCCCCGTGGCAGCGGCAGGAGCAGTGGGGCAGGTGGGAGGTGGCTGTCACTGCTGTCCGCCCGTCCTGTGCTCCAGAGCCAGCTCCCCGGGGGTCCAGTGTGAGACATCCCATCCCATCCCATCCCATCCCGTCCCGTCCCGTCCCGTCCCATCCCATCCCATCCCATCCCATCCCATCCCATCCCATCCCATCCCATCCCATCCCATCCCATCCCATCCCATCCCATCCCATCCCATCCCATCCCATCCCATCCCATCCCATCCCCAGCTGGTGGGATCAACCCCTCCAGTGCCCCCTTAGGCACCCACCACCCTCCACAGGACCCCCGGCACCACCTTCCTTGGCCAACAAGTGCCCGCCCCAGCTTTCCCCATGTCCTCAAACTCTGTTATATCCTTAACTCATCTGCAGGCAGGAGCCACCTTGGGCGCTGCTGGTGGGACACGCTCCCAAAGGGCTGCAGGGACACGCCAGTCCTAAAGGAGGGACACCAGCACCAACCAGCAGGCCAGAGCAGCCCTGCTTGACTCGACCTCTCAGACCATTCCTGCCTCAGAGGCAGTGAACGGTGACAGCAGGACAGTCAGACACTGCGATGGCCCGACACAGCACCCTGCTGTGCACAGCTTCCCCTTGCTTCCCAGAAGAATTAGGCTCTTCAGCGAAGCTCATGTCCCGCGTTTTGGATACTCCAGGAACCCACAACCCTCACCCAGATTTTCTGTGCTCCATAGAGCTCAACTGTGCACCCTCTGCACCTCCTCGCTCTGCAAGTCCTGTGCAGCTTTGAGACCTGACCTGCAGAGGAGTCCTGGGCCACCATCAGACAAGGACATTGTCCACCCACCTGATCCCATCCCCTCGCATCCCGAAGTCAGTTCCCAAAACTGGGGCTCTCCTCTGGATACGACTCTTACAGCCAGCAGGACCTGGTGGGCTGCAAGTGTCAAACAGCAGCAGAGCCAAACCAGTTGTGTACCAAGAGCTGCTCCTCCTCTTTCTCCTCCTCCTTGTGCGGTCTCACCATCAGGCAAAAGCAACTTCCTGGCGTTGCATACAGTTCCTCGCCAGCTGTTAGGAAAGAGCTGCTGGTCTCAAGGGAGGAGCCTCAGAGAGGCTTGTCCAGAATGCTTCGGGTGGTCTTTAGCAAGGAGGTGAGCACACAGGAAAGCATCCTCTGAAGGAAGATGGTGAGTAAGAACCACACCTGGGCTTAGTGGACGTGGGGATGGGACATTGGGAGCCATAAGGCCTGGCTGGAAGGGTTTTGGGGATGTCCTTGTGAGGGGCTGGATCTAGCCAACACCCTTGCTCCTGCAGAAAGGCAAAGTCCTCCTGTACATCTGAGGTGGATGGAGCTTCAAAGGTCTCTGACCAGTTTCTGGGCTCAGAGGAAGGTTTGCTGGGTGAACTTAGGCTGAACATAAGCATCTGTGAAAGGAGGAGGCCACACTCCCACTGAGTCCAGGAGAGCCCCCACCAGCACAAAATGGATTGGAAAACCTGGAACTGATCACAGTCATGGCAGTGCTGTACATCCAGGGGCTCTGAGGAAGTCCCAGCTCATGGAACAGGCCCAAAACTGATTGTTATAAACCAACAAATCTTTCAGGTGTCAAAAATCCCAATGGCATGTTTGGGAATCTGGAAAACGTTGTTTTTTTCACTAATTTGAGTGAAAGCCCCACTGCTGGTATACAGGAAATGACACATTCATGCTGCTTCAGCACTGCTATGCCAAGTCCTGCATTTGAGGGTTTACCAGGAAAACCGGGGTGTTTGCCTGGGGAACTTGCACCTTTGTAAGTCTGTATGTATACATTTGATTGGTTAATGTCAGCAATGTCTAAAAACATTGCATCAGCTTGTCTCTCTGTATCAGCCCTTCCCTTGTGAAAATAAAAACTATGCAATCAAAAACCCAAACTGAAGTCCAAGAAGGAGACTTCAAAGCATACAGCTCCAGTGAAGCAGCCAGCTCTGGTGCAAAGGGACACTGTGGTCTAGGGACAAGGGGGTGGGAGAAAGATGGGGAGAGTAAGGTGGTCTCTCCCCTCTCACAAGGTCCATCTGAGAAACTTAAGAAAAATGTAGCCCCATCCTGTAGCTTTGTGCCATACCTCCAACCTGGCAGTCTTCTTCCAAGAGCTATTTACAGCCTCCTCCTGGCAGTTTTTCTCTGGAGGCTCTAGATAAAGGTGAATTTTGGTCACTGAGAAAGCTAAAGGCAGCTCTGTGCTGGAGCAGACATTCATGTGGTTCATGTGTGCACAGTGTGAGCCACACAGGAAAGACACATATCAGAAAATTAGGGCAGGTAGGGCAGTCTGCTGCCTCTTGGTCTTGTTTTTCTGCACTCAGGCTTTGGTGGGATAAGACTTAGCAGTGCCATCCCAGCTTTTCCTCCAGGGAGGGATCCAATGGCCCTATGTGGTCTCCCCCACCACTTCATCATGGGAAACGGACCAGGGCAAGGCAGGTTGCTCCCATCTGAGCCCTGGAAAGTTTCTGGATCTCAGATTCTGCCCTCGGGAGCTTTGCTACTACCACCCAATCCCTCTGATTTGATGGTCCCTGGTAGTAGACAGAAGGTGGATCAGGCCAAAAGATTCCATGAAAGGTTTCCTGCCCTCGTGGTGGGGTAACTTGGTGCCCATTTGGTGCAGCCCCATGTTGTTTTCTCAGGTATGTTTCAGGACCTTTTTGAGCAAAGACTTTGTTTTGTGGAGAAGACTTAGTGTGAGACCATGTTGAAGGAATACCACATTCTCCGGGGGGAGTTTTGACTCATTTTACTCCATGGTGTTTTAACTGGAACTGTTTTTCTTAATGGTTGCAGATGCATCTGGAGGGGAGAGATGCTGTAGTGAAACACCTTCGGGCAAAGTTCCAACAGAACAGGAAAGAGCCTCCCAAAGTGGGTGGCTGGCCAGAGAGTCACCCTGCAGCCTCTCATGGACCAGAGCCAGGACAGACCCCTGCCATGGCCTCCAAGGGTGATCCTCCTCAGGAGCCCCCCTGGAGCAGGAGGGGGGACTGCAGCAGGGCCTCTCCCTCTCGCAGTGCAGGTCAGAGTTTGGGACAGCATTCACCTCATTCTGCCTGTGACAGCGTGGCACAAATGGTGTGTCGGAAGAAGGGCACGGTTCAAGATGCCAGCTTCCACCCAGTGCCTGCAAAGCCAGGAGGAGATGTGTTGAACAAGAAGGTGGAAACCGGCTCTGATCCTCCCTACAGGAAGCCAGCCCAGCAGACATGGCCACCTGCCAAAGACAAGGGGGCTCCAGCAGTTGTTGTCAAAGGTGCAGCTGTTGCAGACCCTCTGCTCGCCGTCGGAAGCCCCCAAAGGACAGAGCACCCAGCTCTGCCCCGGAGGAAGCCTTTGCCACACGTCAGAGCACTGGGAGTGAAGCCAGGCAAGCCCCGGCGCCCTCCTGATGTGGATTTGTCAAAGTTCAGAGCAGGTGCACATCCTGGGACATCTGTCTGTCCTGCCGCAGAACCACCAAGGCGTGCTCAGCTGGGTATGTGTGGCCAGGCACATGAAAGCCCCTCAGGGAAGGGTGCTGCTTCATTCAGGAAGGAAAATCTCCCCAGTTAGAGCCTGCAGTTCTTGGGAGATGGAAATACTGGGAGGGCTGATGGAGAGGTGGGGGCTTGTATGACCAAAGGGGCTTTTATAAGCAATAGCATGAGGATGAGAATGAGAGAAGGAGGGCAGGTGAAGGAACAAAGTACCCTCTCCCTGGCTGGGCACAAGTTTCTGTCTCTGGGGTATTTGTATGAAGTAAGGTTGGAGTAAGTAACACTAGAGATATTGCCAAACTGGAGTGAGCCCAAGATGGCTGGGGACTGGAGCAATGGAGACCCAGGCTTGTTCAGCTGGCAGGAGAAGGAAGGGGAGACCTCACTGTCCACAGCTACCTAACAGGGAGAAAATGGGGCCAGACTCTTCCCACAGGTGCCCGGGGCAGGGGGTGATGGGCACAAGCAGCAGGAGAGGTGCCAGTCTGACCCTGCCCTTCCAGATGTAGGTCACTGTGGTGCTTTCTCACAGTTGCTGTTCTGCTAATCCACACTCCAGGTGATGAAAGCTGTTTCAAATACCATTTCTTGCTCAATTTCTCTAATCATGAGAGTAGACTTTCCTTCCTTTCCTTAAGAGAACTGAAAAATTGAGCTGGTCTGTATTATAATTAAAAGGTGTTATCAGGGCTGGCCATGCTGTTGTGCTGGGATATTCTCATATGACTGGCTACAATTTGTTTGTCTCATGGGTCCTTACACCTTGCCTTGATTTGATCATTTTTGTTAAATTTTAGGGCAATCTTACGATTTTAGGACCAAATACCTGATTGTGTATTACTTGGTACCATAAACCAGCAGAGATTTTATGTTGTACTCAGGTCTTTGTGCCCATTTTTGGTTGGTCTGGTTGACCAGGCTGGAGACAAGGCTTGTGATAGAAATAATGGCATGTTAGCAGGGGTGTGGTCATGCTAGTAGTGGTAAAGGGAGCAGCAGTATATTCTGGCTGATGATGCTCCTGAGCACGTGGAGATATCCAGGACT